GAGGTCCATAGTGTACACAAGGATTATTGATCTATTGGGCTTTGCATAGTGTTATGTAGACATGTGGGCTTTTATGCTTTAAAGATCAAGGCCAATATGATACTACAGAATGGATAAAGAAGCATGATTTTACTTTGTCTTTCAGTGCCCAGTTTATTGCAAGTCATGTAGCTTTACTCATTTAGTAGTTTAGAATAACAGGCAGAGAACATTGTTAGGGACTCCTAACCATACAGATGGCATCAAAACCACTCAATTTCTCATAGGCAAAGGCAGTATGAATATAGACAATAATTGTGATTGCTGTATTATTTCGTCCTGCTCTACAGTATCATTTTAGAAATAACCTTCTTACATCATGACATTATAGTAACACTAAACTCAAAAGTTAAATACTAAAAATGCATTTATATACCTGAACTATTATAAAAAAAAGTAACATATTTGTGTATCACTCAGCTGTAGATCCCCAATAGGGATATTTTTCACACTTCTTGTCTCCAGACAACCCCTACTAGAACAGGAAGTGAGGGAATGCCAGGGACATGGAGAGGTGTAGAGCCCTTCCTTCCATTAGAACTGGTACATGATTTGATGACCTGGGGATTTTGATGGCACAGGATAGATTTGCCCAGAGATCGGCAAACCTGAACATGGTGGGATTCCCATTAAAGTCTACGTGGAGTGAATCCTGGTAATTTTTAATACCAATAGGCAAGTTATTGTTAAAAAAGCATGTAAAGCTGGGCACAAACAAAAAAAATAAAAAAAGTACTTTTTGGTTTATGATATTTCACTGAAAACCTTTCACAGTCCTTTTCTGGCCATGGAGTTCATTTGCTTTTCTTTTACAATTAGTTTGGCTTACATACAGCATGCGTTTTTTCATGTGGTAAAAAGTCTGTATTGACCTGCGAATAGAAATTGGCCAGCAGTTCGCTGGAGGCTGTTGCTGTTTTAAAAAACTGTCCTGCCTGTGGTCGATTTCTGTGAAACACTCCTTAAGATTTAAAGACCGCAGATGATACAGCAGGGTAAAATTGACCAGCAGCAGGACAGTTTGAATAAGCCAGACTAAGCCAAAATGTTGTAGAAATACTAAGTACAGGTAACTATTTTACTATAAGAATTAGGAGACTGCAGATGACACAGCAGTGTAAATTGATGATCAGCAGGACAGTATGAATGAGCCAGACTAGGCCCAAATGTACTAGAGACACAGAGTCAATACATGCTGTTGCACTTTATTTTTATTTCAAATGATGCAGCCGTTTACTGTAAGAAAAAAGCCATCTCCAAGAACAGATGGTGCGCAACATGTAAATGCTGTGCTTTGAGCATGTCATCCTTAAATAGAAATAACATAAAAAGCAATGAACCCCTAAAAGCATTGAAACTAGGGATGTTCAGATACCAGTGCCGCTACCTGACACGTTCACGAGAACTACCAGGGACGCAACAGTTGCAGCTGTGACTGGGCCCTGGCGCTTCACCAGTGTCCTGAAATCATTAGTCTGTATTGTTTTAGAAAGTATCAGTACTTGGCCAGGAAAAAATTGTATATTTGCATCCATTATACTTAAAAACAAATCATATATTAAAACAGGGATGCACAAATCCCAGGAGCCCCATATACCCCTTAAAAATTACTTTTGAGTAACAAGTACGGTACTTGGTATCTGAACATGCCTAAGTGAAACCCCCCCAAATACACCTCTCCGAAAACAAAAGCCCTTTTTTTTTTAAGGAAAGGAAAGCAGATAAAGACTAAAAAGTCTTCAATAATAAACACACCTCCAACAACAACAAAAGGCAGCAAAGGAGATCATTGCCCAAAGAGCTAGTAGTTTGAATTAAAGCACAGTGACCTAAGTGATCCCGATCTTTGCTATACAGTCTGTCGGTTTTCCTTTTCCTCTCCATACAGTAGCTTTAATACACTGCCACTATGGCTGCTGTGGGGCAAATTCAGACATCAGTTTGCCAGGACCGTACATTTCAAACCTTCAGGATTCACCATAAACCCGCAATAGCAGCAAATAGAACCTCATCTCTAGTGACATTGTGACTTGGCTTTCTAGAAAGATTTTATGCTTCTTATCAATAAATTGCTGACACCATACATTCTTGTAGCTCACAAAATCTATTCTATTTATAATGTGCACTTTCACTTTATTGCACGTAGTCCTGCTGATTATCTAACAAGCTTTTCATTTAATTGCATAATGTCATTTAAAAAAAAATCTAATTCAGCAGATTTGTACCAGCTGCCATCTTGGATGTGATGTCTCCAGGTAAGATGACAGGGGGATCCCTAGGCATGGTTTTACCCGGTGAGGCCACGGGGTGTCACCTGGTGGGACGTCATCACGCATGCGCGTGACATCAGTCTACATGTTTGTGACATCATCGCACATGCACGTAATGACATGGCGTGCACTTAACTGACGGCGACTATCTTGGCGGAATAAGGTATGCTGCCGTGTCCCCTCCTCTCTCGTGCAGCTGTCGGGATCTCTGTCCGCACCCCTCTTGTGATGCCACTAGACACTATTATAGTACACATCTTGTTTGCCCCCAAAAAGAATTGACATTTGGGATCTCAGAAAATAGTACACTGACACATGGGGCCTCCAAATACAACACTAAGCACCTCTGCCTTTGATAATGCTCTAAGATTATATCATAATATGATTTACCAAAGGTAACTTTTAAACTTGATAGTTATTCATAAATGTATGCTTCCTTTGTCCATCCTTAAAGACATAGTCCACCTTGTACAAAAAGTCTGCATGTATTATGTTTTCCATTGGAGCCTGTAACGCAGTGGTCACCAACCTTCTTTGCACCTGGGACTGGTTTTCCAGAAGCAAAATTTTCCAACCGGGAGATTATTGTTCGGCAGATAACAACACAGCGCAAGTTACCATTCTATCTTTACCAGCACTTCTGACTTGTCTTTGCTTTGCTGTAGACTGTGCATGGCGTTCTGTGCAGCTATACAGGTAACACATGCCTACGGCCCCATTTACATGTGATGCACACATGATTTCACTCTATGTTTTGCCATGTTTGTTGAGCGTCAGCATATGAGAGCCCATCCATTCTAATGGGCTGCTCCAAGCTTTACATGCTTTATGTCCAATCGTTTTTGTGCGTTTTTCACATGTTAACATATGCAATGGCGCGTGTTTTTCCTTCTGCGTTTGGGATGCTATCAACAAATATTGGCACCCTTACCATGAACGCCTGTAAAATTGTATGATTCAACGGGCACAACAAATGTAAATGGGGCCTAAAGCCTACTGCTCTGCCATACGGCTCCAAAGCAGTGAAATTGTACCAAATGCAGTTACCAATAACAACCAGTTACTATTTATTTTACTGTTATTATCAGGACTGTCCCTTTAATGAGGCAGCCCAAGGCTGTCGCCTCAGGTAGCATCTCTTTGGGTGATGTGGGGGGCAGCAGGCAGAGTGGCATGGCCGCTTTATTGCACAATGTTTGTTGTGTGCCTGCTGCCCCCTTTCTGACCAGAGCGTCCCAGGTTGCTAAGAGCCAGGAACATCTTCCTTCTATCAGCATATTCCTTATTAGCACATGAACACTGCAACACAATTGGTCCTTGTGTGGCTTCTCCCACCCCTAGTCTGAGCTCTACTGTACAAGAACCGCAAGGGGCTGATGCCAGGTTCAAATCTTGTACTTACCCTGCCTAAATTAAAAAAAAAAAAAAAAAGTTGGAAGTGATAAATACAGCAAAAAATATAAAATAGCTAGGAGGTAGGAAACAATGTCTTCCTCTTTCCCCTAGGGATTTAAAAAAAAAAAATTCTTTATGTGTTCAGACCCCACCCCGCACACAGCGGTTTACTGCCGCTACAAGGATGTGTTAATGATTATAGAGCTGCATTCGTTTTTGTCCTTTTTATTTCCCTTGAGTTCATCATTCATTGAAAGAGCACTGAGCAGCATTATTTCTCTGCTATCCAGCAATGACAGGACTTAGGACACACAATATACTTATACTTGTAAGTATTTTTTATGTCAGCGGCAGGAAGATCATTGGAGTAATGACGTGTAATGATAAACAGCTTCTGGCTGGTAACTGGAATTGTTTCCACTAACAGCAGGATTAGGAAATATAATAATTGTTTTTAGTGTCACAATGGGAGACAGCACAAACAGTGAAATGATGAAGATCTAAATGATATACAGATATACACAATGGCAGACACTGTAGACATTGGATGATATATAGTATATCATACACATGCACATGCAGTGTTTACATGTACTGTTTTGTGACAGCATTCTACTCATATGCATTTGAGAAAAACTGCAGAGAAGGTGCTGACATACAAAAGGAGGGAATTTGTGCTACACACTAGATACTTTACTGTGCAGATACCACCATTTATGTCACATGCCAGCCACATTTATTGGCCATGGCGGAAAGATGGCAATGGGAAAGAGAGGATATACAACTTTAAAACAATTAGGGAATGCTACTGAAAACAAAGATATACATCCATGCACACCAATACCTCCTGTACTAACACTAATGACGTACCTCCCAACTGTCCCTGATTTGCCCCTGATTGTCCCTGTATTTTTTACAACAAAAGAGGCGTCGACCACTATAATAAATGCCATACATAAAAACTAAAAGTGTTACACTACACTAAATGTTTCACACAAACCTTTTTGCTAACAAATTGTTGTTGTTGTTATTATTATATATTTTTTTAAAGCCAGTATAATGGAACCATAGTGATGAAAAAAGTACTCGTTGGTTAAGCTGCTCATTTTTTTCACAATCAGAATAACTGGGAGTGTGGCAGAGGGTGTGTCCTTTTCCTACACACTTTGTGCAAAAGAGTGTCCGTCTTTCCCATCTCAGAAAGTTTGGAGAAAGTTGGTACTACTGTTTTAAACAGTAATAATTGCTTACATGTATCAGCCTAAACTGGCCTTAACTCCCTATTTTTACCCCTAGGTCGCAGGTAAAGCCTCTTGAAATCCCAACCTCGCTACTCCTGGAAATGGCTAACAACACAATCACTATAACTAGGGAGGAGTTAGAAGAACTCAGAGAAGCATTTGACAAAGTTGGTAAGTCTGAATTATATTTTGGCCATACAGGTCTGACTGTTATTAACTTAGAGACACCTGTAATGGCATTTTAGCTGATGGTGGTTTGTGTAAGGTTGTGGAGATGATTAGGCCTCCAACTATCCCATGTCAGAGTACTAACTTAATAATGCCCATTCATTTCTTCCTCTATCTGGGAGAGGTCTCTCCGTCTCTGTTGTACAATATACTTATGTCTAAATAAGTATAACTATAAATGATGCCCTTAGAAATTAGACTGGTGCTCTGTCTGGCCACTTATGCTCATATTGGGAAATGACTGTACATCTTTGGACAGTCCACAAACTCTAAAGACACTGATCGATCTAGGGAGAAGGCTCAATTGGCTAGGTTGGATGCTCCCAGCAGGAAGTTATTATTCCCTCAAGAACTAGGGAGCAATAGGAAATCCAACACAATCATAGAAACAGCAATAGGGTGAAATCTTCCAACCTGTTGCATTGACAATTGTCTTAGAGGGACTATCCCCTCACTTTGGAAAGAATTCCCCTTACTTTCTGCTGTGTCTGTGGGATAAGAATATACCCGATAGGACACCTGAAAGGGTTCTTAAACATTCCATACTCTTTGGAAACATTAATGTTACACTAAAGAGGAATATTCTGGAACTATTCCAAAATCAACATACACTGCCCAGCCAAAAAAAAAAATTCTCTCATTTCTCGATCATCTCCCTGCAGAGAGCGGTGACTGTCAGTCACAGGCTCCCTGCAGGGATTCCCTCCCTCCCCTCTCCGATATCAGGCAATAGCCCTTCTATATACTGAGCTTTGGGTCACCGGCAGAGGTGAGTATATGTCCTCCCATGACCCTAAAGAGAACTATGGGATAAAAAGGGTACTACATAGTTCTCTTTTAAGTTTCCTGGGTTTTTCACAGGTTTACTTTAACTATTAGGGACCTTAGAATGATCACTTTTGCAATGACATCATTACACTTCCTAAAAGAAAAATTGGTAGATATTCACTGGAATCCTTCACATAGTATTCCTGTGTATGCTGAGGATTCTACCCTGTCTTCAATGTATATTTCTGCAGGCACAGCAATTATTTTCCATTGTGTATGCCCAGTGACACCTCTGGAACCTCATGTGCAGTCCTCCTTACCTACATGTTATATGCCACTGTATTGCAGATCACTGTGCAGCAGTACAACTCTCTTACATTTTAGTACAAATCTCTCTTAAATATTTTCCAACTTTGTGCTGGTAATACTATCAAGGGTTGTAGTCATTAATTTAAATATATCCTTCACATTCTGGTAGTTGCAGGGTGACCCCTCCTAGCTGTTGACATTGCATCTGTGTTTTAAGTGCAACCTCCTAGCTAGCTCATTTCCAAATAAAGGCAAGCCTGGTTTCCAGGCAGACATGCCTAACACATAACAAACACCATGTCAGACACCTCCACCTAGAACACTACTGGAAACTGACTAAACTTGATTGGGAATGAAACAGCTAATGTTTATGTACACACACAATGATGTGGCAATATCTGTATGGGCTCACCATTGAACATGCCCCATCCTATTCTTCATATATAACCCAAAAATTTGAAGACAAGTATAGTGGGTTAAATTGGATTTCACATTATTTGAAATTCAATATTCTTTTTATTTATCTACAAGACGAAACACATTTTTCAAAGCTTTGTTTGTAATCATAATTTTTTCATTTGCATAAATCCATTCTCAGTATTTCAATCAAAATCTATCCCATTAATGCTCCAATTACATATCATGTATGGCGAAGTGGTATACAGACTTTGGCAGAAAGCTTAGTACCCATAACATTCCTAATGATATCTTATCCAGGAGGTGGCAGTATGTCTCCAATTTGTATTCCTGAAACAGGGTACAGTGACCGCTTCAGAAAAATCTTAAAAGGAGGTATATGTACAAGTACTTACAATGTATTATTTCACTATAAGGCTTTCTGTGTTCGGGCCTCTGGCTTTAAACACAGGAGAAGTTATCTAGAAAGTATAAACAACTTTTATGCTTCCCAGATAATTTTTCCTGTGTTTAGATGTTCCTGAATCTAGAAGAGATTAGCTGCGTTTACACACGTTCAGCTACGTAAATTCAGGCTAAATGGTCCCAGGACAAAGAAAATGCCTGTTTGTGTCAACTGAATTAACCTGGATGCTGTTAAACGTCCAGGTGCGCATTCAACCACAGCAAAGCATTACATGCTTGCAGGTGCTTTTTGAAATTGGCTTATGTATTTTCATTTCCATGTGCATGGTGCCTAAGATACCCATTTGTCTTTCCTGGTGTAATGCATATTTTTAGCATGTTCAGGAACCCTTAATTGTTATAAAAAGTCTGATGTATGTAGCCTATTATGGCATTTTTTCCCATGCGGCCATGGAGGGCTGATGACAAAGAAGGGGACTGATATGAAGCCATGAAAAGCTTCTAACATCAGACTTTTTATAAGAACAAACAATTCCTAAAGAATGTCAGGAAAAGGGAAGATAAATAGGGACCCAGTAAATCCCAGTCACCACATAGAAACTTTCAGTAGGAACACAAACAGCAATAAAGCATGATAGACGGTTTACCCTTCACCACTCAATTCAAAACTAAGAGCAAAGAAAGTTTTGTATAGAGACAATATATATATATATTTCCTGACACCTACATGGCAGCATACAATGGGTATGGCTCCACCCCCAGCCCAATCACAGGACCAGTTATACTATAAATTAAATCCCGCCTCCCAAGGCTATTTAAGTATCAACCACTGAGGAAGTATGCCCTTCTTACATGTATCATCTTTACCATTTACAGTCAGGTTCACATTAGCAGTCATTGTAGTGAGAATTTCAAGGGGAGAAGATTGAAAAAGAACTTTACAATACCAGATCTTTATACCAGTACTTTGGAAATAAGCACGTTCCCAATCACTATCTGCAAGATAAATGTACATTAAAGGAGAACTATGGGGTTAAGGCTTTTCCCCATAGTTCTCCTTCGGGTAACGGGAGGACACCAACTAGCGTCCTCCCTTCACCCTAGGCTCAGTATACCGCGAGCTACAGCTACAGTATACTGAGATGCCGCAGCTGAAGCGGATCCCGACAATTATGTCTGGATCCACCCAGCTGCGTGACTGACAGCTGGCTCTGCCTACCCGGAGGCAGAGCCAGCTGTACCCGCCCCCTCCCCTGTCCGTTCCGCCAGTCAGCGCCCGATCTACTGAGCCGACCTGTGACAGTCTCATTGTCACAGGTCGGCTAGAACTTTGAGGTGAGTGAGAAGCACTTAATCTCATACTAGTGTTAATCATATATTGTTTATAAGGCTTTCTTAGAACTTGTGTCACTGTCTGTTTTTATAGGTATAATGTAAGGGTGGAGATTTAAAGCTCTCTTTACAGTGCTGGTGCTGAACATCTGTGCAAAAAGCAATATCTTTGAATGGCTTATTGTGCCATTTGAACAAAATCAACAAGTGAATTGTTGATTTATGGCATTAAAATAACAATGGCAATATAATACACATGTCAACATTTCTCCCAAGATTTTAGAAAATGTAATGTACACAGTTGCAGTTATGCCACATTATGTACACAAAAATATATGTTGGAAATATGACTACAAGAATACACACACAAATACCAGGTGTCCAGTCCTGCTTCCTTCCACTATTAAAACGTGTGCAGACTTGAATATTGTATAAGTCAGCTAATCTTTCCTGATACCTGAGCTCCTCCATGCCTCTTATGAGTTTAGTCACTCTTCGCTGCACTTTCTCCAGGTCCACAACATCCTTTTTGTGACCTGGTGCCCAAAACTGAACTGCATATTCTAGATGAGGTCTTACTAATGCTTTGTACACGGGCAGGATTATGTCTCTCTCTCTGGAGTCTAGACCCCTTTTAATACAAGAAAGTATTTTGCTTGCTTTAGAAACTGCGGCTTGACATTGCATGCTATTATTGAGTCTATGATCTACCAGAACACCCAGATCTTTCTCCACCATTGACTCCCCCAAACATACTCCCCCTAGAGTCTATGACGCATGCATGTTTTTAGCCCCCAAGTGCATAACTTTACATTTATCAACATGAAACCTCATTTGCCAAATAGATGCCCAATCACACAGTGCATTCAGATCTGCTTGTAGGTTGGAGACATCCTGTAAGTTCTGTATACCCCTACATAACTTGGTGTCATCTGCAAACACAGAATTGGGGTTGCTTCAGTTGGTCAGGTCTAGGTTCAGCAACGTTATGTCCCCAAACAATTTGGTCAGCTGCCTACAGTACCTGAATATACTGAATGACCAGGTTTTTCCATCAATGGATTTTTTCTTCCCTGATGGCATGGGTGTATTCCAAGATGACAATGCCAGGATTAATTGGGCTTAAATTGCGAAAGAGTGGTTTGGAGTCCAGACCTTCACCACATTTAGACTCTTTGGTATGTGCTGGAGTAGACTTTACACAGAGGTCTGACTCTCCCATCATCACTTCAAGATCTTGGTGAACAATCAATGCAACTCTGGATGGATATAAATGTTGTGACATCAAAATGATGCCATGGCGAATGAATGCTGTAATCAAAGCCTAAACGTGGTCCAACAAAATATTAGGACATATGACTTTTTTTTGGCCAGGCAAAATGGTGTCTCTAATTGTTATTAATATTGGGGGGGGATATTCCAGAGTAATGCCAGCTAAGATATTGAAGTTTGATCTCTAAAAAAACAGACTTAATCCCTAGCAAAATGTACCCGTTCCTAGAATGGCATTTTCCGAATGGTGTGTTTTATTTAAGTTTGTCATTATTTATCTAGCTTACCAGTGTTTTATAATACTTGCAGTCACACAACATTGTACTATGGTACCAAATGGATTTTGTAGGCATGGAGAATGTTTGTTTATGCACAGATAATAAGTTAGCATGGCCACCTGGAACGCAACGTATAACCTCCAGTAATATAGCCATGTTAGC